ATATAGTTATCAACTATTGAGCGCATATAATATACTGACAAATATGAGATATATCTATATATATACAATCAAATTTAATTAACCTGTACGCTCGCGGAGCATCTATTTCAACATATACAAATAAAAACGAAATACTTGAATGTTAAACAACAGAAATCAATTTGCAAATGTTTTCATCTTTTACTAGCTTAAGTCGAACTCTAGGGTTGAGCCACTAACCAGAGAACACAGTTTGTTCTACATGTCTAGTCTATGTGTTCTCTGGTTAGTGGTTGAGCTCATATGTGTGCCGTTTATAACTGGGCATGTTTTCTGTAGAGCTTTTTTGAGAATCTTCCGGTTCTATTAACAGTTGACTTTGCTTGACATCAGAGTTCAAGCTCTTAAATAGATCCAAAGTCGGTGTACTTACTCAGCTGGTATATATAATCTTAAAGGTAAGTACTTTATATATTTATATCTAAGTATATTTCTATAATATAAATAAAGTTTCAGTTGCTTACATGATTTAGCAAATATATATTCCCTGATATTAAACTAATTGAACTATTAATAGTTAGCTACATAAAAGTTTATATCATAATATGAATGTATGACAATTTATTACTGTCTCGGATATCATAATTTAAATACATAATTGATTTATCTATATATCGTTTGTATATTTCTAGGCAAACTAGTTGCTTTCATCATAAAATATTGCCAAATTTCCCCTCTCTGTGTTTTGAAAAGCAAATAATTGTTTTGCTAAAATTTGGCGCAGCTTTCCAAAAATATAAAATATAAATAAATAAACAAAATTATAAAAAAAAAAAATTGCAAACGTGAAAATGAATGCCAAATTTTTGTAAACTTTAGCTTTAGTGATGTTAAAAATATGATTTAATAATTTATTTATTTTTTTAACTTTATCAGTCTCATAAAGAGAATGAAATCTTAAGATCTCTGACAAAAATGCTTATAGATTTATTTATTTTTAAAATCCGCATTTCACTTACTTTTATACATACATATATTCAGCGCTTTTGCTATTCACATATTTTTTCAGCTTTGCAAAAATTGCAATTAGAATAAAAAGCCTTGATGTCCGATCAAGTTGCCATGGAAAAGAGATGCCAAATGCAATGAGTTTAATTATTTTTGGTTTATAGTGGGAGTATAAGTCTATATATAATATAATTTATATATATAAATATATTTGTACGAATTTTGTTAAAGAACAAAAAATAAATGAGGAAAAATTGGAATTCATTAGTGTCAAGCGCTGAATAAATGAGAAATACCAGAATAAATATATAAATAACAATTTGTAGTTTGGCTTAGTTAAATACATACATGCATACTTTATATGTATATGTATGCATAGACAGAATTTACGCATTAGCTTTCATGGGAATATAATTTAAATAATATGATAATGATGATGATTCACAATAACTCGGGTTTAATTAGCTAAGAAGCTGAGATCGCCAGCTAGACTCCTGCTGGTAGCTGCAAAAGTCAGTTCAAGTTCATTTTGGCAAATTTACTTAATCCGTCTTATTCCTGTTTGCTGTTGACAAGAAATGCTGATGGCCAGAAAGAAAGAAAAACAAAAACAAAAACAAAATAAATAATAAGTAGAGACAGCAACAAATCGTTAAGAGATCGTTTGGAGCAACAGCTAAGCGCCGCACGGCCAGCCGATGACCTCATGGATGGCCCATGCCATCCATTGACGGTGTCGTCACAGTTGTGCTCGCTCGTTCGCATCGCCGAGATTCGACACAAAACGCTGGGTGCCTTCATTAGTTTGAGTTTAAATCAAGAACGAGACGGACGGCAGCGATCCGAGAAATCTGTGCGCTCATTGAGTTTAAAATAATACGAATATGTGCTAGCCATGGACTAGCCGAGAGCGTGAGCGTGAAGAGTGTCATGTGTTGAAATTGTAGCACCTAAGAAAGTACATATACTAAATAAGTAAATATATATATATTTGGTGAAATCATGCAAACACAACAAACTGCAACTCCGAGCACTCCGCCGCCGTCGCGTCGCTCCAATCGGCCGCCGCGCATCAACATTCACAATATACAGAACAACTATGGCACCTCTCCGGTACCGCCGAGTGCTCAGCTGCACACCCCAATGACCAACTACACGGCTCCCAATTGGCCGCCCATGTCGAATCCCTTTGGCCCTGGGAACTTCATGACCAAAGGCTACGAGGGCTTCCTTGATCTCACAAAGTCCGGCCTGAGTTTCGGCGAGAAATTCACCTTCTCGATGTACAACAAGTTCAGCAAGTGGTCCAGACGATGGTTCACACACATGTTTCTGCTGATAATACTCGCCCTCTACAACATTGGTGGGGCAAAACTATTTCAAACTGTCGAACGTAAGTGTAGATGATGAGGGATGAAAGGCATATGAAAATGGATCTGTGATAGTCAAGTGAATCAGATCATAGACAGAAATGTATAAATGATCCCCAGAATAGTTGATCTTTCATAGTGAAGTAGGTGTGAAGATCTTTAACTACATGGGTGATATCTGATATGATAAAAATATAAAAGTAAAGATGAATTATTAATAATCTATAGATAAGTATCATTGATCAATGATCTTTGATCGTCAAGATAATTGGATTACAATTAACTTACATATATACATATGTATATGATTAGCATTATTCTAATAGAGCAGATTAGATGTTCTCTGAGAGTCAATTAGATTGAAGTCCCTTAATATAGGAAACGAATAGATGATCATGTCTGAGCATAGATCTAATATAGATCTGAATATATAAATATAGCAATACATGAATATATGTAAAATATTGTCTATGATAATCAAATCTATGCTCAAAACATCCGAGATCTTCAAGATTATCAGAGAAATTGGATGATCTTAAATATTCATTGACCTCAGAGTAAATCTGATCTATGATAGACAAAAGGGGTAGGAAAGCATATATCAAAAAGAAGAGAGATTTTCAAACAGATCAGTGCACTAAATTAATGATCAAATAATTTATACTCAATTAATAATCTCCGGTAGTTAAACAGATAAAAGTACTTCATTGATAATCTCTGATCTTCATCCAAGTAAATGATCTCAAATATATCAATAGCCGAGGTACCTCGGCATCTTTCAGGAGATGAACCAGTCACGTCCGCATAAACAATATTTTCGATGATTTGTTTGCTTATCAAGCACTTAAGCAATTGTTTTGAGAATAGTCTAACCAAACCAGGAACTAAGGAAAATATACAAATAAAGCTGTTTCTATGGCAACATGCTAGATCGTAAAATTCATACCCGATTCAAACTGAATTCGATGTCTTGGAACAAAATATGGATATATATAGATGCATATAGATACATATATACAGAGATAGGTAATTAAGTCAACGATCGAACAACGAGCGCTGGAAAGGCTATAAAGCAATGAAACATACATATGTATATATGTATATGTATTTCATATATACATATATAGCTCTAGAGGTATATGAATCATGGAGAATCGCAGCTAGGGCTGAGAAAGTTTGTTGGCATAAACAATTGGCCAATAAGATGATTAATTTTAAGCAAGAACAGACCAATAATTGCAGCTTATCGATTGAGGGAAATGATTTTCAGATAGGATTTCATTTGAAATGCATATTTCGTTTATGACTGCAGAGCTTAAGCCACAAAATGCATTTGGAAATCTTCGATATAAATATAAGTGACTATAAAATGCAGATAATAGAATCTATGTAGTACTTTAATGTGTCCATTTACTTAGCTTATGAGATAATGTTTTCTTCTGTCTACAAGGCATAATGGATAATAATACTATGTGGATGAATATGAGTTTAGTTGACAAAACCTAGTATTTATTTAACTAATTAAGTCTAGAAATAATCAGTGAAATACTCTTTTAGGATAATGAAATGGACAATTGATATAATGAGTCATTATTCAAAATCTCATTATTTATCATATTATCATTTTAGACGATTGATAATGAGTAAATTTCCTTTAAAGATCCCTTCCATTCTCTTAATTTAAATGTATCTATTGCTAAAATTAGTATAAAACAAAATATGTTTAGGTTTTTTTAGGAAAAATTGTTAGGATACCATAAAATTTTTGTATGAACCTCTGCATGCGGTTTGACAAAAACTTATTTCATTTACTGGGAAAATATATGCAAAATTCTGTATAAAAATCAATAAGTTCAATGAGCTTTATGCACTTATATTTACCTGCACAAAATATTCAAATTAAAATAAATTTGCCAAAAATATATGCACATTAAAATAGACATTTTGGACCCAATAACAAAAGTATATTAATGTATATCGTATATATAAATACATTCATATATTCTGAAAGAGCATTAACAGCACATTTTTCTTACCTAGAAATTCGTTATGAAAATCATTTATTTTTGGAGAAATGCAGCATTACGTATCTTTGACCCTATATATATGTAACTTTAGTATATATGTATAAATGCACATTCTGGGGCTAAATCGGTCTAGCATTTTTTGTCTTCTATAAGGCATTCTGAAAATCCGGAAATTTAGAGTGCTATGCGAGGATTAGTGTAGTGAAATATAATTTTATTATATGAATAACTTTTGCTTATTTTATTATTTTAAATTTCACTCTCAAAAATAAAAAAAATTTAAAAATGAGCTCTGTTTTCAGTTTATAATTTATATAAAATATATAAGCTAAATTTTTTATTATACTCCATAAACTTCTTTTTACTAACATATTCATCTCTTTTACAGATGGTCCAGCGGAACTGGAAATAATGACAGCGCAATATCAAAAGCGAGCATTCTTCAGGCAGCTCTTGGACTTGGCCAACACAACAATTACGTATAATGTAAGCATGCCAATTGGAATTTATGAAACTTGTTAATAAATTGATATTATTGCCATTCAGAACACAGATCACTGGGATGGCTATGTCAATAATATACTGAACTCGAATAAGGAAGCTGTGGAGTCGCTGCTGCGCTCGAATTTGTCCACAGACGAGGAGGCTAGAAGAAACAATCCTTGGTCCTTTTGGAATGCCATGGTCTACAGCTGTACGGTCTATACGACAATAGGTGAGTGAATAAGAGCTATATATTTGAATAGGTGATGGTAAGATAGGGAGTAATGTTGTCAACTAGAAGATAATCCAGAACCTAGTTATAATAGCCTAGGCTATATAATTATATTAATATTTAAGATTGTTTTATGGCTATTTCTAAAATACGATTCAAGAAACCGGAAGTTTTTTTTATGAGATTGCCTAAAGTTCTCGATTTTATATATGACCTTTCAGAGGATCTATACGTATAGACCTCTTTGACTTGTCGAAAGTCCACGTCTCTTTACGCAAGTACGAACATACGGACAGGTAGATGGGCAGATGACAAACTCAAGGATAGGCAGTTGGGCAGAGAGGCAGACAGGTGAAGGAAACAAAAGAACGGACGGACAGCCAATGGAAGACAATAATAGATTGTTGAGCAGGCAGACAGACTCGAAGACAGGCACATTGACGGACAGACAGTCCGGCGGACAGCAACGATTCTTGACTCGGATCAAAAATATATGGCGCCAGTCACGTCCTCCCCTGTCTATTACACACATCTTAATAAAAGACATAAAAGACACGAATTCGCAATTTAAATGAGTTTAGGATATAAATAAATTTTAGTCATAGGAAATTATCATTAAGAAAAAATTTGTCACAATTATTATATATAGAMATTTATTTATTTTACTATTTGCACGTTGTGCTGTTCATATATTAAGACCTATTTTAAAAAACTGTCTAAGTTGTTAAGTATTTACAAGAGACAAACATATATAGGTAGCATATATATATATGAAAATATTTATGTATATTTTAAAGAACGTGTCAACATTTTGTGCTAAAAGTATGTGACACAAAAAAAGAAATAGAAGAAATGGAAATAGTTTTCGTTTGCGAAAGTACCTCGCATATGTTATTTATATAGAAAAGAATAGAACTATATATATAGAGTATATATATTTATCGTCTGTTCTTGCGTACGAATTTGAAGCAGATTTAAATTGTCTTGAGAATTTTTGGAAAAGTGTCATCGTTCTTAAAAAACCTCTAAAAAAAAAAAATAAAATAAAAAAATAAAAAACACAGACAGTACAAAATTCCAAGGAATCATTGCTTTCACTCAATCAAACATATATATAATATTAATATATATATAAATCTGTCTTTCACTTAACATTTCATATGCCAAAAATACATTTCGAAAATTTTCATTTTTTTATTGAAACTCTGGCAAATCAAAATAAACACACGCACACACACACACATAGACACACAGCAAAGTGTTTATTGTGAATTCGAACCGTCATCGGCTTGGCTGGCAAATATATAAATTATATTACGTATACGCCACGTGTGGTCGGAGTGGAGCACGTCTATCAAGTGTGTGCTAATTTCGATACGCAGCCAAAGTATGTGGCCAAATTGCTTGGACAATAAATGCTTTAAGCATTTGGGCCGTGTTTACGAGTGCCAAGCAAAAAATTTATTTACGAATGTCCGTCCGAGATGACGTCACAAGTTCTGTTGATCGTTGAGTGAATCGAATGAATTAATAAATTCAATTTTCCATTTTCAATTTTCATTTGAATTTTCGCACAGAATTCTATGCACAGCCATAGTCATTAGCCATTTGCTATATCTTTGAAAATTGAGTTCGATTTTATTGAATTTGAAAACACAGAAAAAACATTTATGGGGCGATGAGCCGCGGAGAACGGAAATCGTGAGGCGGAAGGAAATATCAGTCTAGAGCATGAATGAAATCACGGAGTTAAGATAAACAAAGCGTAGAAATTGTAAGGCTGGTAATAATATTCATTACCTATATATGTATGTATATGGTATCTGTGGTATATGAATATGGGATATACAGTGTATATAGGGTTTATCTGGTATATAATCTAACTGCAATGGGACCATACTAAAGTTTTAATACTAGTAGTAGTTGCTAATATTTATATATTTTCATTACAAAAGGAGTTATATAGGTCATATGGAATATATGTATCCTTATATATCCTTAAAATGTCACCCAGTGCAAATTATTAGCAGTTGCTTAATTAGATTTCAGCGCTTAACCAACTTTTGTTTTGTTATAGACAATATAACCTAATATTAATAGTTCTTTATATAAAGAGTTGATTCTTCAAACGTTTACCACATTCCATTCTGTTTACTCCCGTTGCTGCATAATCATAAATTCCTTACCAAATACAAAAATTATTTATTGCCAGTACTTCCATCCGCCTCTAGAGACTCATAATCTTAATTATTAAATCTATTTATCTGCGTATCCACCACAGACACGTTATAAAAATTTGATGAGCACTTAAAATAAAACCAAAAAAATGTTATTAAATTTTCATTATTAGCTTACACACGCCAACACAAAACTGATCAAGTTTTGTAAACAAAAAAATCATAGTTTTACTTAATTTTTGTGTCAAGTTGTTTTCCAGTATAGAATGAAAATTTCTAGTTATGAAACAAATATGAGTTTTCCGCATTTTAAACAACTTAGAAATGATTTATGACTTGTCGCAACTTAAAAATGTTTTACACTATAGAATCTATAATTTATGTGTAGCTACTTATTGCCTGCAAATTATGTACCTTCAAAAAATTTAAAAAATTTTTTTAAACAGAATTTAAAAGAAATATTTTTGAATCAAGAATATTGAACGAAATGGATGACTACAGAATTAACTTTAAATAAATAAAAAAAAAAAATAAATAAATGAATATTATTAATAGTTTTTAATAATAAATTAGTATTTTCTACATACAAAAAGCTTATAGTGAAAGTCTCAATGAAATGGCACGCACTGTATGCATGTGTATGTATTATTTTAGCGCTGCCTGTTCGCCATTTGGCTGCCAGCATAAAAAGCTTTCAAGCTTTCAAAGCGCTTTCCAACAGTCGTGGCATAAATAGTGTGCAGAGTGCTAACAAATTTGTATGAATTGCTAGAAATACAAATTGTTATTAGCAGCAAATGTATTTATGATCGATACAATAAACAGTTATATATATAAATATATGTGCAAAGCTATATATAGTATATATATATACATGGTATATAGTCAGCCGGATAAACAGCTGATGCTCCAAGTTGTTCAAGTTTTGATTTTGAAAAATGTATACAAGATTTTGTATTTTGAATATTTGTTCCGGCTGCTGCTCAGGCAGTTGGAAGGCAGACGACGTCGTAGCCGAGTGCGCGAGCTGTGAATACAATAGACGTGCGCTATATAGAGGATTTATTTTTGAATATATATATCAGAAATATGCATAATCAGCTACAGATATATGTATATGTGAAATGAAATATGTAATAAATATCTGCATTAGAGTTGTGAGTGAATTCAGCTATTGAGCAGCCAAAGCCAAAGAGATTTGCACGCATAAGTGATATAATTACAATTTGAAACAATTTTCCATTTGGTCAGTTGAAAATAAATATGAATGCCTAGTCTCTATGTTAAAAATAGAGCCATGGTATAGAGACTAAGCAAGAGTGAGAGAGAGACAGATAGAGAGAGAGAGAGAGCAGAGAGTGAGTAAATTGGCATAATTAATAAGAAACTGGAGCACGGAAAATGGAAAATGCTGTGAAACTGCGGCATCGCCGACGCATGCCACGCAATCAGCGGGAGCAGACGCCGGATGCCAACAGCCGGCCGCCAGTGCAGCTGGAGCGGGATGCCGGCTGGGATCGGGATCGGGATGAGGATCGGGCACAGCATGTCTGCATGCAGATACGTCCGCCCGGCTCGGCCATGTCCGCGCATGAGAGCAAAATACTGCGCAGGCGGGACAAAAGTTTTGCGGGTGCGGCGGCGCGCAGTCAATCGCAGCCACGAGAGGCGGAGAAGCTGAGCAGTCCGGATGCGCATCAGCTGATCAAGCAGCATCGCAGCCTGTCCTCGCCGCGCCACAAGGACGAGTCCAGCGAGAGCGAGCTGACGGGCAGCTCGCAGTCCTACAGAACGCAGCAGCAACAGCAGCAGCAGCAACAGAAGCAACAGCAGCTTGGCGACGACTCGCTGAGCCGCCTGGAGCAGAATATGCTGCGCTTCGAGGAGGAGCGACGGCGCTTCGAGGCGGAGAAGCGCCTGTTCGAGCGGGAGCGGCGGGAGCACAAGCTGCGCCACCGCCAACAGCTGGACCACGAGGAGCGCAAGCGGCTGCTGCAGAGCTATCGCAAGATCAGCGATAGTTTTCAGCTGCCCCAGGACGAGGAGGAGCGCCGTCGCCTCGTGCAGAGTCTGCGATTGCAGCGCAATGAGGCGCCCGCGGTGCGGCTGCGCAATCGCAGCAGCGGCTACGAGGAGTCTTCCACGCAGTTCAGCTCCTCCGATGCGGACACCGCTGAGGAGCAGCTCACGCGGCGCAAGACGACGGCACAGCCCATGGCCATGCCTGGTTATATAGCAGCGCCCATACGCGGAACACCACCGCCACCACCCACCACGCAGCAGGCACCACCAAAGCCACCTGAGCGTCGCTCCGTAAGCCGCAACAGCTCCCTGTCGCCCGTACGTCCGCAGCGACGCTCGAAGACGCCGGAGCCGCGCAGCATCGAGGCGGAGCACTTGAACCGGAAGACCGAATACGTGGAGGTGGGCGAATCTGCCGTCGATTCTCCGGTGAAGGTGAAGCTCAGCGAGGAGCAGCAGCGCGAGGAGCTGCGTCGCGCCTATGTGGAGGCAGCCGAGCGAGCAGCAGCGGCAGAGGCAGCGCTGGCCAGGAGTCTGGCCACGCAGGAGAAGGTGAAGCGCAGCAATAGCCTGAGAGCGCCCGAGCCTGAAGCCAGGCCGGAATCCAAGCGCAGCTCCAGTCTGGAACGACCAAAGAGAACAAAGCGTGAGGCCAGCCTCGAGAGGCCCAAACTGACGGAGAAGCAGGTGATAGCTCCCCAAGACGATGAACAGCCTCCAGTGGAGGCAGACACAAAGGAAGAGCTGCCCATCCTTACAGAAGTGGAGAAGCCCCCTGCTCTGCTCAAGCGTCTGGGCAACCTATTCAGGAGTAAGCCACGTGTGGATACAACGCAAACTGTGATTCCCGCAGAGACAGCCTCGGGTTTGGCCTCTGCCTCGGCCAAGTCGAGGTCTCTGCTGGGTCATCTGCGCCTGGAGGCGGCACACGAATGGCGACGCCTCAAGCTGGATTACCCTGTGCGCATGGCCGAGATGCGATTGCTGAGGAATCAGTGTATAGCTCACTTCATTCTGCTAATCCTGCTGCTGGGCTTTGGCGGCCTCATGTTCCGCTACACGGAGGGCATGTCCGAGGACATTTACAAGTGCGAGGTGCGCAAGGTGAAGCGTGACTTCATTGACAATCTCTGGGCAGTCAGCCACAACATGAGGTACCCGAATCCCCTCACTTCCCCTTCTCCAGTTACTGCATTTAATCTTTGTTTCGATCTGTTGCCAGAGAGGATGACTGGAAGTCCTTGGCGCGCCATAAGCTGCGCACCTTCGAGGATGAGCTCAATACGCTGGCCGAGCTGGGCTTGCGTCGCTTTCCGGGCCAAAAGTCGTTCAACTTTGTCAATTGCTTTATATACTGCTGGACTGTGATCACAACCATAGGTAACCGGGGCTGAAATCAAGGGAGGGGGAAGGAAGCTAGAGAAGAAGGGTTTACTTAAGCAAATATTACAGAGGACATATGAGTATTGCAATAAGATGGAATGCTCAGGCGGGCAGTGTCAAGGCGTATATATGTATATGTCGCATGCATATGTATATGTACTTGCATAGGTATAGGTACATGTCTGTCTAAGCCTGTCTAAGGAAAGATTAAAATTGACTTGATGTTCTTGTAAACAAATATATCTGATTTTCACATTGTTTTTTCTATATATATCTTATTAAATTT